TTTGTTTCGGTTTTAATGTTTAGAAGACAAACAAGCTATCAAGGCAATTCCCTGCTCTAAACAGACAAGGATATTTATGCTGTTTTGTTTTCCTTATCTCTTAGAAACATCCTTCTTACTTCTGTTGGCTACACCTTAGCTCCTTCCCATGCTTCTCTTTTTTAGAAATCAGGCTTAGTCATATTGGAGCTCAACTTGTTTATTCAAGATTTATTGGTGATCATTGTTTCAGCGCTGACTCCAGTCAGAGTTTGCTGGGTTCTCTTGCCCAGATTTTTATGGGGCTATACCTACCTGGGAGATGGAAAGAAAGCTGTTGGTTTTAATGGACTTAGCACAAAAACATAGCTATTGAGCAACCAGGGCACATCTCCAAAGAGAAGTTCAGAAAAAAGACATCAAGAAAGGTTTCTGAAGAGAAGTTAGGAAAAATGTACCCCTGATCTTCATGGGGTCCTAATATAAGTCTGAGTTTTAAGTTGTTGGAGGGTTTTTTCTCATTTTTAAAACATTCCTATATTTTGAGGTCCATTGATAAATGTTGAAAATGGGAGTGATGCATTACTGAACAACCCAATTCCAAATTAATCTGATTTTTCCTAGCTCAGCTACTGTGAGTGAGAGAGACTCCTGGCTGAAAAATAATTTTATTGTGATTTTCTTATAGTTGTCCTTATAATCCAAGGTGTTTAGTTAAAGCCCAACTAGTCTGACCAATCTCTGTTGTTGACAGCTGTGGTTGTGTGGGTAAAACACAATATTTTCAAATTATATCCAAAGTAAATTTCCTTAGTAATGATAAAAATAAATTTTAAACTAGAACACGCAAGAGCTCATTTGGCAAAGGACTTTATCTAATACATCTCATGGCATAGATAGAATACAACATTCAGAAATTTTTCATACTTATGTTTTTAATTTTACACATATCAAATAGAATATTTGCTGTGAGAGATTATTTTATCTCCTGTTCTAGAAGTACTTAAGAATAGTTGGAGTCACCATCTAGATATTTGAGAGAATTCACTTTCCATATTCACAGTTAATTTCCATTGAACAACAATAAAGGAATGGTTATTGACACTTCTTAAACAGCCCTAATCACTGAATAGGGGTTGCCTCAGTCAAAGTGAGAACTCTGAAAGACCTTAGTTTAGAAATGCCAAGCTCTCCCACTAAATCCTGGGCCATCTCCAGTCATCCTGATCAATATCTGGCCACTGGACCCAGATGACTCTAGAAGAGAAAGTGAGGCTGGTGACTTTGCCAAGCCCTTCCTCACTTAAATCCAATTGACTTGCAAGTCATGGCACCATCTGCCTGATGTCATGGTCCTCTTGAAGAACGAAGGACAAACCACACAACAATGTGCTGGAGCCATCTGAACCATCTAAAGTGCTGATTGTTAAATTTTCAATGTGCATATTTACACCACGGAAATCAGCAAATTACAAATCAGGGCTTGATTTACTGTTTTGTTGATTGTCCAGATTTAAGAAAGTGCCAACAACGCTTTAAAAGTGTCATGAGTATTTTTTTTCTCAAAGAGATAATTGTTAAACATTTATCAATTAACCCTTGGTTACTAAAATAAAAACATGGATACAACTGACCAATCCACCTTTGAATTCATGATGGGCATTACCTTTTTGTCTTCATATCCTCCAGAGCCTGAAATACAACAGATACTCAACAAATGTTTTTTTGACTGATTGATTAACAAGAAGAGGAACTCTACGAAGTCTGAGGTTGAGTGAGTTTCCTCATCTATAAATAAGGAGACCGGACTAGATGACTTTTAAGGCCCGTTCCACCTCTAAATCTATTATACTATATATGATATGCATAAAAGGTTAAAGAGAGCAAATTGCAAAGGGTTCTGAGAGAAGGGAGGCAGAATTCTCATAGCCTTTAAATGCTACAAGGAAAGTCAGCCCATAAGTTATAGGAAACTCTTGAAATTCTGAAGACATATAAAATTTTGACACAGAGACAAAGGAAGCAGTTTCTATCAAAAGGGACATATATACAGAGGAAAAACATCTATATAATAATAATTATAGATAATATTTATATAATACTTTGTGTCAGGTACTATGCTAAACACTTCACAATTATTCTTTTATTTGATCCTGACAACAACTCTAATAGGTAGGTGGTATTATTATCCACATTTTACAGACAAGGAAACTAACAAAGGCTAAGGAACTTGCCCAGAGTCACACAGCTAATAAGTGTCTGCGGCTAAATTTGAATTTAGGTCTTTCTGACTCCAGGCCCTATACTCTATCCACTACACCACATAGCTGCCCTATCTGTAGATCAGTACGAAGAAAAAAAAATAATAAAGGATGAATACAGACCTTATAGCAATAGCATTGAAGCCCTAAACCTCAAAATAAGCTAAGGATATGAATAATGTCAAGTGCACCAAAAAAGGGAAGGGAAGGGTAAGCTATACTGGGGAAAAGGTGATCAGAGAAGAGATGGAACCAATTCTAAGAGAGGATTGGATAATGATATCTGACCCCCCAGAGAAAGACTAGGACAACTTATTTCATATTGCTTCTGCTTCTCTGTTTCAGAGAATAATCCTTGGACAATGATCTTTGAACTTCCAGAAGAATGGCCCAGAGGGAGTTCAGACCCAAGATAAGATGCGAGCTAACAAGAGAGCATCTCGCTACCCGTAAGGATTTAAAGTCCAGATAAATTTCATAACAGGGTAACAAAAGCTCTAGTAGAATAATGAGGCACTATTAGGAACCTCAAAGATCATGGAGAATGGAAAAGGACTCATTGGACTGGAGAAGAGATATAATTCTTTTTCTCACAGGGTTACTAGACTAGTAGATAGGAAGGGAATTCCAAGCAAAACATTCAACAAATTTTCTTACCCTAGTCTTTTGGACAAAATGAAGAAATGTAGGCCAGACAATACTGCAGTTAGGAGGATTAGGAATTCAGTGAATAGTTGGACCCAATGAGTATTCTATAATGTTTTGAAATCACCTTGGAAGAAAGTCTCTAGTAATGTATCCCAGGTAGGTGTGCTGAAATACGAGCTATTTGACAATTTCTCATGATTAGGATGAAAGGCATAAATAGCAGACTTTGTAAATATGAAAATGATTCAAGGTTGGGAGGATTAACTAAAATGTTGGCTGATCCTTGGGATCCAAAAAGATCTTGAAAGACTACAGTATATGTTAAACTGAATCTAACATGATGGAATTTTTCTTCTCTCTACTTCCATGGTTCCTAAATGAAATTTAACATGGATAATTAATGCAATATTTTCTACTTCAGTTTTTTTTCAAATCAGCATCATAGGTATAATATAGAGAAGGTATTATTAAACAAGAGTTCATCTGAAAAAATCCTAGGGATTTTATGAACTTCAAGCTCAACACGAATCAATAGTATGATATAACTTTCAAAAAATGCTAACTCAAAATTAGGCTGCCTTGAGAGATAGATAGTGTCCAAAATAAAGGAAGCAATAAATCCCACAGTTTTCTGCCATGGACAGACCCATCTGAGATATTATGTTCAGTCCAGAAAGCTACAGTCCGGAAAAGACATTGAGAAATTGAAGAACATCTAGAGTGTGACAAGTATAGTGTCAGTCATCAAGCAATCAAACATTTAAGAGCCCTACTACATGCCACACATCTACACAAAAACAAAAATGAAAAAGTTCATACCCTTACAGAGCTTACATTCTATCTAGTGAAACAACATGTCCACATATGATTATATAGTAAATCCATAAAAATAAATGAGGCAATTTGGAGGTTTGGTATCTTGGGCCCCAAAATCATGCCATGGGAGAATTGATTAATTTCGATTCAACAAGTATTTTTTCAACCTCTACTAGGTTGTCAGGCACTGAGCTCATTGCTAGGGATACAAATGAAAATATATATCTATATATATATATAGATATATATATATATACACACACACACACATATATATACATATATATGTATGTGTATATATAATGTCCCCAAGGAGCTTACCTTCTGCTGAGAGAAATGGCATGTACACAAAGAAGTAAACATGAGATACATACAAAGCAATTGGAGGAGGGAAAGGACTAAATATGACAAAATTGGGAAAGATCTCACATAGGTCATGGCACAAACTGAGCCTCAAAAGAACTAGGGTTTGCAAGAGGTAGAGAAGGGAGAGTGTTCCAAGAATAGGGACAGCCTAAGAAAAGATGGAAACAGGAGATGGTATCTCATGATCAGAGAACAGTAGGATAGATTCACTGGAATATAAAGTAGCAGTAAATGTAATCAACCTGAAAAGATAGACTGGAGCCAGATTGAGAAAGAATTAAATGCCAAAAGGACTAGTTTTTATTTTCACCTAGGGACAGTGGAGAGCCACTGAAGTGTCTTGAATAAGGGGAGTAACATATTCAGACTGTTTGATCCATATCAATTTGGGAGTTCTTATTGAAGGAAGAGGGAATGTCTGTTACTGAGAGGAGGGTTAAGAATTATTCTACTTAGCCATAGAGGGAAGAACTAGGAGGAATGCATGGCAATGACAGGGAAATTTAGGCTTAATGTAAGGGGGAAAAACTTCATAAAAATTAGAACTATCCAAAGGTGGAATGGGCTTTTTGGAGAAATGGTGGATTTTCTTTCACTGAAGGTCTTAAAAAGTTTAAAAAAAAAAAGTCTCTACAAATGTGAAACCTGAAACTTAGAAACGAAAATTAATTATCAAACCATGTGGTGCAATAAAGGGTAACACTGGAATGGGAGTCAAGAGGCCTACTCATAACTAAATGTATACATCCAGGCATTTTATATCAATTCTGTACTTAGTTTCCCCTTATGAAATGATTAGGTTGGATTAGGTGGTCTCTATGACCTTTTCTAGTCCTACAATTGTAGGAATTATCTGACTTGTAAGCCCTGTGATAGGCACATTAAAATAAGTAACAGATGAAGAAACCCCGCAAAATATCATCTACTCACTTGGTACACCTTGCGGTGGAACAGGTGGGATACCTTCCATAAGAGTCAGAATAGACTGGCAAATTGAGGAGAGCGGCATCTTGATTTCTGAGAATTTGTTCTATAGACAAACAGTCTGAATCTCAAAGGCAAAAGGATATCACTTTTATTGGTGACATCATAAGTCAGAATTCTCAAAGGGGCCTCTGATAGGCTGAGCCTTAGTAATACATTTTTCTTATCTCACTGAGTGGCTCTCTAGAAAATAAGAAATGGTTCAGGAAGAATTTTTCCATAGTCTGGTCTAACTGTGCACCAAGTTATTCATGCTTCGAGAAAAAACATGAAATACAGGACAGCAAGCATGAAGGCCTGATGAATAACTAGTCCCACGCAGGAGTGGAGTAGGTAGCCATAGTCTATGTGTTATCATTTCAGATGCACCTGAAAAGTATCCTCCACGTGCAGGTGGTTCCTTGCATGAAATTCTACCATTTGAGACATTTCTTTGTATTGAACATCACCCTTTCCCTACAGTTCTCTTTTAAAATGCACATATTTTCAAGAAATTTGTCATTAAATTCTTAGTGTAAATTAATTTATCCTGTGAATGATTTATGTATTGATTTATTTTGTGAATTATAAGAGATGTAATAGGACAGAAAAGATATTGAAAGGGAGAGCAGGGCACTGAAAGGGAATGTGAGGAATACCAAAGAGAAATGTCACCTATTTGATCACTTAGCAGAATTCTGATTCTACTTTAACAAATAACAGACTACATTTTAATCCAGGTTCTCTTTTTTTCCCCACACCAGTATCTGTTTCTCTCACTTTCCTTTAAAAAAATGCCAAATTCTTTCACTGTGTCAAAGCAACTATGCTAGAATCATAGAATTTCATAACTAGAAGGAACCTCAAAGATTATCCAGTCCAAGCCTCATTTTGTAAATAAGGGAAATGAGCTCAGTAATATAATATGACTTGCCCAAGGTCATATAGCCAGCTAATGGCAGAGCTGGGACCTGAACCCAAATATTCTAAATTTCTGTCTCTGCTTTTTCTACTATCCCACATTATTCTTCTCTCTCTTTCATAGACTGTTTATGATGCTTTTGAGTCATGATTAATGCATACGTAGTCAATGAAACATAGAATTTTAGAATTAGAAGGGACTTCAGTAGGCATTTAGTCGAATCCATATGCTTCAAAGAGTCCCCATTACCACATACCCAACAAACAGCCATCCACAGTCTACACGAAGACCTCTAATAAGGGCAATCCCACTACCTCTAGTATAGAGACAACACCTTCTAGTTTTAATTACCTCTTATTATTAGAAAGTCTTCCTTAGGGCAAGCATGCCTCTTTGCCATTTCTGCCTATTTCAGGAAGTTTTGACCTCTGGAGCTAAATAAATTTGGTCATTTACAAATATCTTCATATCCTTTTGATAGATCTTGTATTTAGTTATTTTTCATATCGTGGACCCCACTGGAACGTGAACTTCTTAAGAACAGGCACTATTATTGTTCTTATGTATCTTATATTTCATATGTATCACCAGTGCACAGCTCAGTGCTTGGCACATAGTAAGTACCTAATACTTTCCCATTCATTCATTGTTGACTATCTGATAAGAGGAACAAAAAATTATAAATATGGAACTACAGGGAAACTTTGCAATCCACTTAATCTAATCATTTTATTTTACAGGTGAGGAAACTGAGGCCAAGAGAGATAAATGACTTGCCATTAATAATAAGCAGAGCGATGATTGTATCAAAAATCCACCACTCTTTTTATCAAGTTCCATAAGAAGGAACTCCAATAAAAAAAATTAATCAAATGAACCAAGGAAATTTATTAAAGGGTATGATTAGAATCAGATAGATTCTTATATGAAAGGTATAGAAAATAACTTCTTAACACATTCCAGGCAACAGGATAAAGAGAAACCTGCATGTCAATGTCTTCTGATCAAATATAAATATTCAACAGGATGGTGCAGAGCACATTAATACTGGGGGATGGCTTTTAAAATGAGCGAGATGTTATCAGCTGTTGATGATTGCAGCAGACAAACAACATCTTAAATGAAATCAACCGTCCTTGGGACTAATAAAAGACATGACAATGACTTGCATCTTTTGAAAAACATGGCTGAGATGAGAAACTGGCCTCAGATGTTCCCATTCTATTTTATAGATGACATTAGCAATTACTTATCTTCGCAGAAATCTGCACAAAGCACACTCAGTGAGCTGCAACCCTGAAAAAACAACTTTTATTTGCCATAAAATTACTTTCTCAGTAGGCCCTCATTCATTTTGTTTTCTTTTGTTTTTCCATTACAATAAAGAAAGGACACACAACATTTACATTACCAAAATGTTTAAGCCAGGCCAGGATATTAAACAATTCATTCAAATAGACAGGGCCAGGACCTTTTTTCAGTACTTGATTACCTGCCTGGCATTATCTCTGAAGCCACAAGTCTGGTTTAGGCTTTGCTTCCTATCAGATAAATCAAGGACAGCAAGCATGTTCCAGCCTAAAGTCCATAGTGATGGTATTATTACATTCACTCTCAACATTTCTGCTCAGGTTTCAATGCATGAGACTAATTATTTAAAGAACAGCTATTCAATTGATTGGAACTCAAGAAATACATTTATCTTTCACAATTCAACCAACATATCCCACAGCATTTTCTCTGAGAACCCTGCTCTAGGCAGAAGGCCTTACTTAAACAAATACACAGCTGCAATAATTCGTAGCCCAATGGTTCAGGAAGAAAAGCACTGAAATTGTTGTTAGAGGTATGTTCAGTAGTGTCTGACTCTTCGTGACCCCCTTTTTTCTGTCATGGGAGCGGTTCTTAGCAAAGATACTGGAGTGGTTTGCCATTTTCTTCTCCAGCTTATTTTACAGATGAGGAAATCAAGGCAAACAGGATTAAGTGACTTGCCTAAGGTCACATAGCTATTAAGTATATGAGGCCAGATTTGAACTCATGAAGTTAAGTCTTCCTGACTTGTAGCCCAGCCCTCTATCGACTATACTACCTAAAGGGACTGGGGAGACAATCTCTTCTCTTCCACTTAGGCCTTACAAGTGAATTTGGTTAAGTTATTTGACCCTTCCAAGAAGGCAGCTAGGTGGTACAAATGGGACCACTGAGTTGGACACAACAGAAGAGCAGGTCACAGACTCTTCATCTGTAATGTGCTATATAATCTCTAAACATCCTTCTAATACTACATCTTTCATATGGTAACTCTTCTTCCCAACTGTGAATTTTCTCTCCAGTCCACTCTAGGATTAAGACAGAGACAGAAACACAGAAAAAGAGACTTGTTCATATATTTTCATTCATTGTAATTCTGCACTTAGAAGCCTGGTTATAAAATGACTTGTGCTTATAGACACAGTAACAGAGCAAAACTCTCTAACAAGGGCCTTGGGGTTGAGCTCCCAGCCGTATGCTAGGAAAGGACCTTCTCTTTCATGGTCCTTCTTACACCCTCCTGCCACAAACAAAGGGATACCCAGAAATAGAAGCACAAGTTCAACCACCAGTATTCATGAGAAATAATATCAAATTTGGCAAATGTATTCTTTGGCACAATAAATTTTTAAAAAAGAATTAACTGAAAGTAAGGTTGGGATGGAGTAGGGCCAACTTGTTTCTTTCAGCACACACTGGATAAAAACACCTAGTCACACACATTCCAGCTCATCCATTTAGAAGTCATCTCTCAATCTGCAGATGTGGCAGAAACCAGTTGATGCCATGATTGTGCTGCGGCCAAGGGAAGACTTCTACTTTTGCCTAACTTTTATCCCTCTTTGTTCTCAAGTCCCAAAACTCCAGCCAAGGTAGAATTGGGGAAAGAAGGGCAGGAGAGAAGGGGAAGTGGAATATTTCATTTGCTTATATTTGCAGATATATTTTGTTTATGCTTCAGATACATTATTTTGAATTTCTAATAACTTCCTCTCTAGGAATCCAAAACTCCTATAATCAGAATTGAATTCTATCTTTCAGGGTCATAAGGACACTAGCCATATTTCACTGGCATACAAAGTGAACAAAAATCTCCCTCTTCTATTTTTTTCCTCTCACCCTTTTTTTTTTTAATTATTTTCGGCAACCCAGTAAAATCAACAAAAACATTCAAATGATATATATATTTTTAAAAATAAAATCTTAGGAATTAGAGCTTTAAGGAACCTTAAAAACCATCTAATCCAACCCCTACAGTTGAAACTACAGGCATATGTACATACATACATACATACATACATACATATATAGATATATAGATATTATACTAGTCCTCTGAGGTAACACAGAAAGTAAACAGCAAGGATCAGAACCATAACTATCACATATAAAATGAATAAATCCATTTTTGATAGTTTGTTAAATTGCATATTCTGCTAATTCTCAGGCTATTCTTTTTCCCACTATACAACTCAGTTCTTCTCCATCTCTTCCAGAAATTTCCTTTTATGTTTTTGTTTCTTTGCCAACTCAGATAAATACAAATTGGTCACCTTAAGTAAGAGGAACCACATGGAAAGTTTTCATGAGAAGAATACCCAGTTGCAATCAGTAAAACAAATTTGGGAAGGATGTGTACATTAGCTTTAACAAAATCGCAACAAACACATCCTGTTTGCTTCTATTCCTTCTTCTAATGTCTTTTTCATTTGTCTGCATTTGTTCATATTATTTTGTTTTTTACAGTAAACTTTTTAAAATTTTCTTGTCACTAAAATCAGTGTGTGTGTGTACAAATACACACATACATATATGTTTCTGATTCTGCTTTCTTCATTCAGCATCACTTTACATAAATACTAATAACTAACATTTGTGTGGTGCTTTAAGGTTTATAAAGTAAACCTTTAAATACTGTCTCATTTGATCACAACAACCCTGTGAGGTAGGTACTATTATTATCCCTATTTTACAGATGAGGAAACTGAAACAGAGAAAAGAGAAATGACTTGCCCAGGATCACACAGCTAAAATTTTCTGAGGGCAGATTTGAACTTAGATCTTCTTGACTTCAGGTTCAGCACACTTTT